GCGATAGTTCGTGTGGGACAAGGGGAGGGGCACTTTACTCTTCTGCTAGTGTTTAGTGCTTTACAAGAGTTCACAAGTATACTTTACAAGAGTTGACAGTAGCTTGTAAAGACTTTGACTGGTAACATTTCATGGCTTCACCAGACTTCAAACTCTCTACCTGTGGGGGCTCGACCCGACCATGAAAAGCATCGAATGTGCAAATGCCCATCCTCCCCCCCCCCTTGTCGTCGAACTGTGCCAAAATTTGCTCCAAGGTCGTCTATGTTAAAGACGCCGAACGTAACTGTATGTGGTATTCCTGTACAAAGGGCCAATTTATCAGTGGAAATAAAAATCCGGTCAAATTAAAGGAATTTAGGGATAAAGTCTTCGCCGTTGATTTAGCCTTTTTTTGAGATGCGGGCCGATTTCTACCCCCATTAACAATCGTAGTGGCTTACTGGATGCGATGTAGCCCTTACAATGAGTTGCAGGGGTCTGTCTTTGTACAAGTCAGTGTTCTCAGTCCTCAGACGAATCTAGTTACCGCCCCTGGAGGGTAGAAGACCTGGTTGGCGTGGGCGTGAGTCGGCCCTGGATTGGAACCCAGTAACACGCAGTGGTGTGGGTCCCACTTGCCACTACACCACCTCCGCCGCGGTCAAATTGGGAAGTTGCTACCGTTGTGAATCTCGACCACTCATAACTCGCTAGCGAAACACAGGTAACAAATTTGTTCACAGTTATGACCAGCATTCCAGACTCCATCAATATACTCACAAGGGAAGGATACCAACTCCCCATGGCCATTCAGGATGAGATGTATACTCCTAGAAGCGTCTTCGGACGCTGATATCAGATCTGACTTCCAAATCTGCTAAACGATTCTAGGAGAGAAGTTACGGACCTTTTTTGCTACTGTGCTTAACCATTGCGGTGCGCCCCCTGCCCATACTTTGCGCTTGTGAAACCCTCGTCACGAGGGTTTCACAAGCGCAGCAGATAGGTGGGCGGACTCATAGCAGTGGGGCGAAGTTCGAATCCTTGATGCATTTCGTAGTTTTGCTTTTTCTTGAAGACGTAGCTAAACACTTGGAAAGTAGTTTTAGGTACCAGTTCAGGAGCCCCTCTCTGCTCCCTATTGAGCCCTGTGGATTACTTTCTAGACATATTCCACTCTCATCCAACTTGCTCAAGCAGGAGGCAATATACACCTTCACTTCTGCTTCAAGCACGTGAACCGAAAGTTTTTTCAGCTACTTTCGGTGAATAAGACGTGTTTTTTCATCTTCAGAAGAAGATCCCTAGGAGAATCAGCCATTTCTGCCCATGTAGAAAAAAGCCGGTCAAAAACTGGCCAGATTTCGGATGATTGGGGCAGTAAAGGGTAAATAGTGCCGAGAGAACTAGTGAAAGAAAGTGAGAGCTTGAGCGATTCACCTTTAGAGCTTCTGTGTGTCAATACGCAAAGCGAAACTACGAATTACATCAAAGATTCGAATCTTCGTCCCGCTGCTATGAGTCCGCTCACCTACCTGGTACGCCATCAAAGCACAGATTCTGCTGTGTCACGAGGGTTTCACAAGCGCAAGTATGGTCAGGGGGCGCACCGCAAGGTTAAGCACAATATCCGAAGATGCTTCTAGGAGTATACATCTCATCCTAAATAGCCATGGCGAGTTGGTATCCTTCCCTAGTCAGGTTTCTATTCAGTTATGGGAATTCTAAACCCTCCGCCTGTCAGAACAGGGAATGTTCTACGTAAAACGAATTTTCAATTCCAAAGCGCAACTCTGTGAGGAAAGAGTCACCACAGGGCTGCACAAGTTCAGACGGCAGAACGGAAAACTATTACTATGACACTTACTATTAAATGAATCTCAGGTGTAGCTCCTCTCACATGACGAATCCTCACTTGATCACCCCATGATGCAGCCATATTTTCATGAACAAACGCTGTAACAATTTGTTAGCTATCAAAGCCGACATTACCGTCAACAATATTGACAAAAAAAAACAACTATTTGATGCACAGTCTGGCTTGGTGGGGGCATTTTGCTGGCTTCTACGATCACTGACGATGCCTGCAGTGAAGACCTGTGAATTCTTGTGAAGCTGTGCTGTAGCATAAGCTTCATTTACATATGACAAGAGTCAGCAGGTCTCAACAAAACTGGACGTGTAATGTAAATTACGGAACTACGAAACCCAGAGAAAGTGGAAAATGCCTTCCCCGAGACGAACAGGCGTCATCTTCGAGGGGAGACTTCACTCAGAGCATGGGAAGGAGGAGGCAAAATGCAGGTTGTCCTTGGCACACGCCATCAATGATTATTTCGCGCAGGGTGACAAGGTATATGGAGTGCTCTAGGTGAATAAATCCTCACATGTTCTTCTACAAGCAGAAGCAAAGCCTCTATTACTGCCTTTGCCGTTGCAAGAAGACGAAGCTAGCTAACATCGCCGCCGAGCTCATGACGATCTACAGTATTTGCATGAGTTTGAAGCAGCAGCGTAATTTCCAGGGTACTCACTTGCGCAGTTTTTCGGGAACTGTGGGAAGGTGGGAAGCACAAGCCGTCCACCTCTTCGGATAACAACGCCTAACCCATGATTAACTCCGAGAGTCAAGTTCACCGTCTAGCGCCTAGGGATCCAGTGTAAACGTCGGTTCGCTGCATACTGCAGGTTTGAGGATCGAGATCTGTGCTCCATTCAGAGGTTCGAAGCGTCCACTGCGAGCGAAGGGTATGTGACAAGAGAATCGTAATGGTGGGCGTCGCGTGCGACGTCGCGCCCGCAAATGGCGATGGTTCCAGGTCGACGGTGAGAACAGGTAA